GACTGTAGCCCCGGGGAAACCCGCCCACTGCGCTTGTGCACGGCGCCTAACGTAGATTATTGTAATAGTTTGGGAGGACGAAAATCTGAAATGAATTTCACTGGGCTAAAATCAAGGTTCTGCGGGGCTGGTTCCTTCTGGAGGCCCTAAGAAAAAATCAATTTCCTTGACTTTTCCAGCTTCTAGAGGCAACCGGTGTTTCTTGGCTCGTGGCCCCCTGTCCACCTTCAAAGCCTGCAATTGTGTCACTCCAACCTCTGCTTCCATCATCGCATCTCCTCTGACTCTCCTGCCTCCCTCGTCTTATGAGGACTTTTGGTAGTTACATTGGGTCCACTTGGATAATTCAGGATAAGCTCATCATCTAAAAATCTTTAACTTAATCACATCTGCAAAGTCTCTTTTGCCTCCTAAGATAAAGAATTGACAGGTTGCTGAGATTAGAACATGCACATCTTTGAGGATCAGTATTCTGCTTTCCACAGGGTCAAGTTAGCAATGGGCTCTCAGGCATCAGTACATGCTGTGTCCCTCTCCAGTCTCCCGCACTGTGTGCTGATCTCATCTCTCTTTTTCTCCGTTTCCCATTTATTCCTGTCCTTGCAACTCATTTAAAAGAGATATCATTAGCTAGAGGCATTTGCTCCAAACCCCCTAATCCGTAGGGATGGTGGTCCAGGGTAAGGTGTCCTGATTCCATGCACTGGAGTGAGCCTGATCAGACATGGTCTCCAGGTGGAGCTTCTAGAACAGCACAGTCCAAAAGAAATAGAGTGTGAGCCGGAGATGCAAGTCCCATATATGGATGTCCCCAAAAATGTATACACACCTGAACAGCTGATAACTTACTGAATTTCCACTCCTTTTCAGGTTAAACTGATTTGAAATAATGGATGAAGCCAGACTAAGCTTTGAACAAAGAAAATTTATCCTGAAGTGCAGGTGGTCTGCAGGTGAACGGTGACACAGAGATGAGCTCGGGCAGCAGGATTGAGTTTAGAGAAGCAGAGGGCTACTGCTCGCTCAGGCAAGGAGCAAAGCCTCCAAAGTTCTCACGGCTTTTATTGGGGAGTACAGCAAGTGACAATGAAAAACAGGCATGCCTATGAGATCATCTGAGCTAAGTTATACATTAAACTATTAATTTCCAGGATTGTTCAAAGACCCTCTCAACCAGCAGCTGTGTACCTTTCCTTGTACTTTCCATGCCCTCATGGACTATTTATCACCTCAAGGAAATTCTGCCTCTGAACAATAAGTCTTGCGTGCAAGACTTGGTTCTGACGTGGCCCGCTTGCAGGCCCCGGTCTGTTCTTGGCAGAAGGTTCCTCTTTTAGTTAACTTCTCATTCCACTTGACCGGCTACATGAAGTGCCACTAGACTACTTTTATGGGGGATACATAAAATATAAAGTTTACAGTACACAAAACCAGCAACAGTGGATGCACTGAGGGCACACAAATATGGAACAAAATGATTCTTTTAAAAATGGACACAAACACGGGTGGTGGGGGCTTGCCCAAGGGTGGGAATGGCTGGGGGGTGTCAATTGAGGAAAAAGGAGACATATGTAAAACTTTAGACAATAAAAAATTAAAAATAAAGAAAATAGCTATTTTATATTAAAAAATAAAATCTTTATTGTTGGAAATATTTCATATGTCCCGCCCCCAGGCCTCCACCACCCTATTGTCTGTGTCCATGGGTTATGCATATATACATACAAGTACTTTGGTTGATCTCTTCCCATCCACCCATCCACCCACCCACGGCTTCCTCTGAGATTCCACAGTTTGATCCATGCTTTTATGTCTCTGGATCTTTTTTTTTAACTGATTTTTTTTACGGAGAGGAAGGGAGAGAGATAGAGAGCCAGAAACATCAATGAGAGAGAAACATCGATCTGCTGCCTCCTGCACACCCACCACTGGGGATGTGTCCGCAACCAAGGTACATGCGCTTGACCGGAATCGAACCTGGGACCTTTCAATCCACAGGCTGACGCTCTATCCACCAAGCCAAACCAGTTAGGGCTATGTCTCTGGATCTTATTTTGTTCATCAGTTTATTTTGTTCATTAAATTCCACATATGAGTGACACTATGTGACACTTGTCTTTCTCTAATTGGCTTATTTCGCTTAGCATAATACTCTTCAGGTCCGTCCATGCTGTCTCAAAGAGTAAGAGATCCTTCTTTTTTACTGCTGCATAGTGTTCCATGGTGTAAATGTATCACAGCTTTTTTATCCACTCATCTACTGATGGGCACTGTGGCTGTCTCCAGATCTTACCTATTATATATTGTGCTGCTATGAACATAGGAGGGGTGCATACATTCTTCCTGATTGATGTTTCGGGTTTCTCAGGATATATTCCTAGAAGTGGGATCACTGGGTCAAATGGCAGTTCCATATTGAATTTTTCGAGGAAACTTCATACTGTTTTCCATATTGGCTGCACCAGTCTGCGTTCCCATCAGCAGTGTATTAGGGTTCCCTTTTCTCCACATCCTCACCAGCACTTGTCATTTGTTGACTTGTTGATGGTAGCCATTCTGCCAGGTGTGATGTGATACCTCATTGTCATTTTAATTTTCATCTCTCTGATGATCAGTAACATTGGCCATTTTTTCATAGTCTCTTGGCCATCTATATGTCCACTTTGGAGAAGTGTCTATTTAGGTCCTTTGCCGCTTTTTAAATTGGATTGTTTGTCTTCCTTTTGTTAAGCTGTATGAGTTCCTTATATATTTTGGATATTAACCTTTATCAGATGTATCATTGCCAAATATGTTCTCTCATACAGTGGGCTTCCTTTTCATTTGGTTGATGGTTTCTTTTGCTGTGCAGAAGCCTTTTATTTTGATGTAGTCCCATTTGTTTACTTTTTCCTTAGTTTCCTTTGCCCCAGGAGATGTATCAGTAAACATATTGCTATGAGAGATGTCTGAGGTTTCTTCTAGTATTTTTATGGTTTCCTGACTTAAATGTAAGTCTTTTATACATTTTAAGTTTATTCTTGTGTATGGTGTAAGTTGGTGCTCTAGTTTTATTTTTTGCATGTATCTGTCCAATTTTTCAACACCATTCATTGAAGAGATTGTCTTTAGTCCACTGTATGTTCTTGCCTCCTTTGTCAACTATTAATTGAGCGTGATGTCAACTGTTAATCTGGGGTCTCTGTTCTGTCCCATTGTTTTTGTACCAGTATCAGGCTGTTTTGATTACAGTGGCTTTGTAGTATAGCTTGACATCTGGTATTGTGATCCCTCCAACTTTGTTTTTCTTTCTCAAGATTTCTTCAGCTATTTGGGGTCTTTTTTGGTTCCATATAAATTTTTGGAGTATTTGTTCTAGATCTGTGAAATATGCTGTTGGTATTTAGTAGGGATTGCATTGAATCTGTGGATTGCCTTGGGTAGTATGGAAATTTTAATGATGTTAATTCTACCACTACATGAACCCGGTTTATCCTTCCACTTGTTTATATCTTCCTCTAGCTCATTTTTTAACGTCATGTAGTTCTCTGAGTATAAGTGATTTACCTCCTTGGTTAAGTTTATTCCTAAGTATCTTAATTTTTGTTGCAGTGGTAAATGGGATTGTTTAATTTCTCTTTCTGACAATTCATTATTGGTGTATAAAAATGCCATCGATTTCTGGGTGTGAATTTTGTCAAATTCCTTTATTAAATCCAGCAATTTTTGGTGGAGTCTTTAGGATTTTCTATGTACATTATTATGTCATGTACAAATAATGTGAGAATTTTACTTCCTTCTTTCCAATTTGGATGCCTTTTATTTCTTCTTCTTAAAAATACTTTTATTGATTTCAGAGAGGAAGAGAGAGAGAGAGAGAGAGAGAAACATTAATGATGAAAGAGAATCATTGATTGGCTGCCTCCTGCACACCCCAACAGGGGATGAAGGCCACAACCCAGGCATGTGCCCTGACTGGGAATCGAACTGTGACCTCCTGGTTCATAGGTTGAAGCTCAAGCACTGAGTCACCGTGGCCAGGCTATTTCTCCTTGTCTGAGTGCTGTGGCTAGCACTTCCAGTACTATGTTGAATAAGAGTGGAGAAAGTGGACATCACTGTCTTGTTCCTGTTCTTAGGAGAAATGGTTTTAGTTTTTGTCCACTGAGTATGATGTTGGCTATAGGTTTGTCATATATGGCCGTTATTATGTTGAGATAAGATCCTTCTATTTTCACTTTGCTGAGAGAGGAATTAAATTTTGTTGTTCAGCCACCCAGTCTGTGGTTATCTGTATATAACTAATGCACACTCCTTTTGCCAGTCTTCAATACTGCCTTTGAACTACATTCCTGTCCTTCGATAAGTTAAACATAGAGTTGCCACTTAATCCAGCAATTTCATTTCTAGGTATATTCCCAAGAGATTTGAGAATGTGGTCACACACAAATGTGTACAGAACATTCATAGTAGCATTGTTCATAATAGCCAAAAAGCAGAAACAACCCAAATGTTAATCAACTGATGAATGGATGAACAAAAAAAGGTGTTAGATTCATGCAATGGAATATTATTCAGCCATAAAAAGGAGCAAAGGTCTGCCCTGGCCAGTTTTCTCAATGGTTAGAGCATTGACCCTTGGACAAAAGGGTCTCAGATTTGACCCCTGTCCCCAGTTGGGGCGTGAGTGGGGGGGGCAATCAATCAATGTGCCCCCCCCTCTCTCCCTCCTGGTTCAGTCAACTGCAAACCCAGCGGGGCAGCTCTGCTCCGCTGCTCCTGTGAGTGGTGTTTGCTACTAACAAGCCCGAGGCCAGCAGTTGGCCCCTCTCTCCAATGTGGTGTGACCACAAGGCCTGGGAAAGTTACTGTGTTTTCAAAAGACATCCCAGTAAGAGTTGGAGAGATGGAGGGGGTTGTGGCTGAGAGCGCTGCTCTCCTGGCATCAGCCAGTGGTCCTTCGCGCGGAGAACACTTTTTTTCTGGGCCATACACAAGAAGCAGCTGAGCCAGCCGGTCAGCGGGTGCGTTATGGGGATCAGAGTTGCCCCAGAGCAGAGAAGCTAGAGTGCTTGTTGCCATGCGCTAGTCCCCGTTAGTCACAAACACATTACTCCTCTCAGTCCTCAAACAACACTGCGAAGTGAGTACCATTGGCCACATTTCAAGGAAAACCCCGACAGTGAATACTGAAGTTCTGTCTAAAGTCACAGGCACTGCGCTCTGGACCTTACATGCAGCACCCCATTCATTTATTTATTTTTATAAAATACATTTTATTGATTTTT